AAAAAAAAAAAAAAACAAGGTTGAGAAGTTAGAGGGTTGATACGTTGTGGGGTTGTTAACCAATGTCATAAAACAACATGTGTACTTCTGTTTCATGAGAAACTATTTGTTCTGTAAGCGTTCACCTGAAGTACAATAAAAATATAAATAAGTTAAAAAAGAAAACTTGTGCTTCAAATAATACCATCAAGCAAGTGAAAAGACAACCTACAGAATGGGAGAAAACATTTGCAAATCATATATCTGATAAAGGACTTGTATTCAGAATATATAAAGAACACTTACAACTAAGTAATAAAAAAACAAATAATCAAATTAAGAAATGGGCAAAATTAACATCACTAGTCATTAAGAAAATACAAATCAAATTCACAACCAGATACCACCTCCTACTCATAAGAATGGCTAAAATCAAGAAGACAGATTATAACAAGTGTTGGCAAGGATGTGGAAAACTCGTTCATTGCTGGTGGGAATGTAAAATGGTGGCACTGCTGTGGAAAACAGTCTGGCAGTTCCTCAAATGGTTAAACATAGTTACCATATGACCCAGTAACTCCACTTCCAGGTATATATATATACATACCCAAAAGAAATGAAAACATATATCCACACAAAAACTTGTGTATGAATGTTCATAGCAGCATTATTAGTAATAGCCCAAAAGTGAAAACAATCCAAAAGTCCGTCGATTGATGAATGGATAAATAAAATGTGGTACAGTGGTATCTGTGGGAGCTGAAACTCTACAGGAGTGCCTTGTTTTTCCGGGTCTTGCAAGTTTTCCGCCTTTGACAGGGTACAGTATTACCACTTTTCTATCGCTCTTTATTAGTGGACAGTATTCAAGTTTTCCATCTCTGACAGGTTTCTGTCTTACACAGGTTCTGGCTTTTGCAGGTTTTACTATATATCCATACAGTGAAATATTATTCAATAATAAAAAGGAATAAAGTACTGATATATGCTACAACATGGATGTACCTTGAAAACATTTGCTAAGTGAAAGCAGCCAGTCACAATAGATAACATATTGTTTTATTCAATATCTATGAAATGTACAGAACAGGCAAATCTATAAGGATACAAAGTAGACTAGAGGTCATCTAGGGCTTGATGGGGAATGGGGAGGGTGGAAGAAAAGAGAATGACTGCTAATGGTATGGGGTTCATTTTGGGGGTGATAAAAATGTTCTAAAATTGATTTTGGTGATATTTGCACAACTCTATGAATATACTAAAAAACCATTGAATTGTATCCTTTAAATGGCTGAATTGCATGGTATACGTATTAAATCTCAATAAAGCTGTTAAAAATTTTGTTCAGTATATACGAGGGTAAGTTGCTACAAAATCATAGAAACCTTTATTAAACAAAAATATCAAAATGTGAAGCTATTGTTTCTCGACATATCCTCCATTTAGGTTTATACACTTCTAAAGCCCGTGAATCCATTTCTCTAATCCTTCCCCGAAGAATTCTGCACTCTTCAGTTTATACCACGTCAGATTTGGCGTCCTTGAGAGACTCAAATCATGTTCCTTTTAAATGTTCTTTGAGTTTTGGGAATAAAAGGAAGCCTGAAGGGGCAAGATTAGGTCTGTAGGGTGGATAGGGTAAGGTTTCCCAATGAAATTCTTATAGCACATTCTACCCTTGAAGAATGAGCAGGTGCATTGGTGTGATGGAAAAAAACTCCTCGGTGCAATTTTCCTGGCCTTTTTCTCATCAATGTAGTTTTCAATTTTCTTAAAACTTCTTCAAAATAAGTCCCCTTGATCGTCCTGTATCCTTTGAGAAAATCCACCAAGATTACGCCTTTGGAATCCCAAAAAACAGTCGTCATAACCTTCTGAGTGGTCTTCCCTCTCTTGGCTCATCTTTGAGGTCTTCCTGACCTTCCTTAAAACACTTGATCCATCTAAAAATTGTTGTTTTATGTGGGGCACCATTCCCATAAACTTGTTGCAAAGCTTCAATGATTTGAGAAGATGTCCACTTAAGTTTTGTTAAAAATTTGGTACTAGCCCTGACCTCAAAATTGTTTTTTTTCATGGCACAAAAAAGCATCCTTTCTTATGAAGGCACCCCAACCCGACTTAAGTGTATTACTGAGAGAACTTGTCTGCACAGAGACATGTTTAAACACGTTTTGTCTGGAATAATCCCGTCCATGTATGAACTGGAACTCTAGTAGCAATACTTTTTGACTTACCCTCGTACATGCAAATGCTATGAATGATTGCCAGTTTATGGAACTGCTGAAACAGAAGACAATAAATTTCATGACTTGTATTCTTTGCCAATGTTTGTTGGTTGAGCTGTGGAAGAGTTTTTACAAAAATTTACTGTATTGTTAACTCTACTGTAAAGATTTACTGTACTGTAATGTTACTGTACTGTTAACCGTAAAGCTTCAAAATTTTCTTCTAACAAAAGGAATGGTTGACAAAACAAAGCAGTGTAATTTGTTTCACTTACCAGATCACAATGTATATGAACAAACAAAATTTGAAGTTCAAGTAAGTTCCAAGGAAAGGAAAAGCTTATTTGTGAACCCGCCAGACAGGTATGGGATTTTGCGGTGAAACTGAAGCTTATTCTTAGTACAAATCCTGATACATGGTACAAATATATATACATATATATTAAGTAGGCTGTCATGGCACCCCGAGCTTTTAAGCTGGGCCCGAAGCAACAAATGTCAAAAGCATGGAGGCTGAATATCCTCCTGCTTTCTTCTTCCTGAGTACAGCAAAAGATCGAGAACCCAGCATTTTCTCATACTGGCTGCTGAGATCCTGGGCTATTCTTTCCTTTCTCCAGAAAATGGTTCCAAGTCAGTAGATCAGATTTCTATTCCCAGGTCGGCCATCGTGGGACAACATCAAGAACATATTTGCCCTTTCAGTGTTTATTTCTTAAGGCAGATGAAGGGAATAATTAAGACCAGTCCACCTTACTTCATGGGGCTGTGAGCTGACATATTTGAAAGTACTGACCGGAGTTGAGGTGTGCCGTAGTGAAATACACAGCGCCTGTTTTTCAACCAAGTTCTGCTGCGGACCTGCGGACTTGTCACTGGCAAGTCACTAAGTCTTAACTGGTTTTTTCATTTGTAAAACTTTTATGTTCCTAAACTGGTAGGAATGTTGGGGGGTGGGGTATACCTAGGAGCCTCCCCTTTGCGAACAATGAGGGCGAGTGTCCTCGCGGTCAGTTTCTAAACCCTAGTTCAGGATTCTCTGGCCCAGCTATCTTATTTACACATGAAGAAGGCGCAGGGAGCCGAGTGACTTCTCCATGGTCACAGAGGAGTAGTGATCTGATCCAAGGACCATGGGGATCGTGATGATTCTCACGCAGCCCGCGTTGGAGAAGCAGCCAGCAATGGCGGCTCCGCAATACCGTGTCCACTAAGGGAAGCCGAAGCCCGACATCTACCTGCTAGTGCAGGCAATGCAAGGAAGGAGTGGTGGCGGAGGGTGGCGCTGGAATATTCTGGGTACTGCGACACCCGGGAGCGAATACGTTCTCAGTTCGCTCACCTAACTCCTTTTCCATTGGGCCATTCCAACTGTCAATCAATTATTTGTCAGTTTTTACTGGTTTATCTTCAATCATTCTACGCAATTGACTAATTACATACTTCTGTCCAAGCGAAGCTTTACGTCATTAGGTCTCCTCTGAGTCTGACGTGTTTAGTGAGTCCTTTATCCCATTGGTTGGATCCGGCCCTTCGTCGCGTTCAGGCTGTTCGGGGAGGAAGTGAGAGAGCGCCTATTCCTATTGGCTTAGGTTTGCAAACTGTGGTTGTCTATCAAGTCTTTCAAGAGAGTGTCACTCAGGAAGTACGGCACCGGAAAGGGTGGGTTTTGTAAAGATGGCGGCGCCGGTGAGTGTTGTGTGGTTTCCTCGTGCGGCTGTTGTGGAGATTCCCTTTCACCTCAGCGGCTCGAGACATCTCAGAGCAGACTGTTGGCGTGAGGGAAGGGTGGTGATGAAAGTAGCTTCAGGAAGGCGGCCTCCCTGCACCCCCCCCCCAAAAAAAACCCGTTGTCGTCGGTTTGATTCAGAGTAGAACTGTCCCATAGAGTTTCCAAGGAGCGCCTTGGATTTGAACTTCTCACCTTTTGGTTAGCAGCTGTAGCACTTAACCACTACGCCACCAGGGTTTTCCTCCCTATCCCAGTGGGGCAAAAACAGCAGTAGGAAGACTCGGGGCTGGAGTTCCCGCGCCCCTCCTGTAACCTAAGGGGCAGGCGCGCTGTGATGCGAGGCTGCGTGTGCACCAGAGGGGAGAGGCTCGAAGTCTGGGGTGTCTGAGGGTGTTTTCTGTCGTGGACGTCCCATTTTCTCATAATCCTGGGGAGAAAATCGCTTTTCTTTATCCCCCCGTCCCCTCGCCCTTCTGTAGGAGGTTCTAGAGTCAGACCTGCCAGGTGCCGTGACACTTTTGAAAAACCTCCAGGAGCAGGTGAGTAATGTCACTTCTTAGGGATAGATTAGTCACAAATTGTCTTTGTGGGCCCCATCCCCAAACTTTGGCGATTTGAGGGAAGATATTTGAATGCTAGCAAATACCATAAGTAATATGATTTAATGAAAAATTTTCAGGCCAGATTTCAAAATAATTGATTTCTCTATCCAAAGGAACACAACATTCCAAAAGGACCTTTCAATCATATGAGTCAGTTTCCTTGTTTTTGTAGCTAAGGAACAGATGCTGGAAGAGGTGACATGATTTGCCTTTTGGGTGCCTAAGTAGTATACATTTATGTAGTTCTCATGCATCGTAAGTTCAACCAGTACAGATGAATTTACATTTCCCCCATGACCATGGTCCCAGTCCCCAGTCCCTCCCCAGAGTTTGATAAAGATGATCTGTTCTTTATTTTTAAGATTTTTTTCTGTAAGGTAGAAACTTTTTTTTACCCTTTGAAGAATGATCAGAAACCATTTCTCCTGTAGCACCCCATAACTGAGAAGAAGATAATACTGTAGTGTTTCAGATATTTTTAAGGTGGCAGTGTGTAACTTCTACTCTTTAGCTTCTGACATGATGTTTTCTAGTCAGCTGTTTTATTTGGGCTAATTTCAGGTGATGGCTGTAACTGCACAAGTGCAAGCTCTGACAAAAAAAATTCAAGCTGGAGCCTTTCCTACAGAGAAGGTAAGACATACTTGAAGTGTAAGCATCTCTTGATGTTTTCACTGGCTGATTTTCACTGGCTAGTCTAGTGGGGAAGGCAGATAGAAGCAATAGCAGTCATGTTACAGAGTCATAGCACTTGCTGTGAGAACCGAGGGGAGAGATTAACTGCCAGAGGAGCAGAGTGAGTCAGGGAAGGCCTCTCAGAGGAGGTAACAGGATTTTGAAGAATAAATAGGAATCACAGGGACAGAAAGGAACAACATGTGCAAAGGCACAAAAGCCTGAAAGCATTGTGATATTCTGGAAAGGAGTTTAAGTCATTTAATGTGGTTGGATGTACATTCTGGATTCATGGGGTGGTAGGAAATGGCTGGAAAAGTCGTCGCTTTCTGAAGAGCCTTGTAGGCCAGCTGAGGAGTTACTACAGTGTTTCATCTAATCCGAGATGCTATTGTGTGTTAATTTGTTGTACCATGGTGTCTTATGTGTTGGTATGGTGCTGGAAGTTATGCCACCATTTCAAATACCAGCAGAGTCACCCAGGGTGGACAGGTTTCAGTGGAGCTTCCAGATGAAGACAGACTAGGAAGAAAGGCCTGACTGTCTCTTTTCAAAAATTAGCCAGTGAAAAACCCTATGGATCACAATAGAATGTTGTTTGATATAGTGCTAGAAAAAGAAGCCCCTAGGTTAGAAGGCACTAACAATAGCTGCCAATAGGGGACTCACACATAACAATGATCCTGAAGATGGCACAGGACTGGGTAGCGTTTGTTCTGTTGTACATAAGGTCACCATGAGTCAGAGCCATCTTGCCTTCAACTAACAAGAAGATGCTATTAATTGAGGATGTATCACTTTTTTATGTACCAAGTAAAAATGGTGTTTCTTAATCTGTGATATGATACCATTGATTGAAAGGTACGTTCTGATTTCAGAGATGTTAGAATATGAAAATGATGTGCATTTTAGAATTGAAATATGGTAGATCTAAAGTTAAGATTTTGTAGAATCTCAGGAATCGTTAGGTGTGGGGCATTATGGAAGGAGAGCTGTGGACCCCTCATTCCTGCTTAAATTGGAGAAACTTTGGTGTTATCTGTTTTATATGTTGAACTTTTGTCCGAAAGTATTATTTAAACAGAGCATTCCATAGCTCAACAACAGCTTGAAAATCGTTGTAGTAGGTTAATAAGAATCATTGAAGGATTTTTAAGCAGGGGAGTTACAGCAGATTTATACTTTAGAAAGATAATGAGCTACATTTTTAATGTATTCTTGCTTTCTCTCAGCATTCACTTTTGTTCTTATTGTCTGTTTTTTTCCCCCCTTGATATTTTTATCTTTGCTTTTACTTCTTTGTTTTTCTCTCGTATTCTTGAAACCCAGTTTGAACTTGACTTGCTCAAACATGTGAGGACAGCCTTCTTCACAAATTCTTAGCTGCCTTTGTCCTGGGTACGCGCTTGGATCCACTTCAGTGCCTTTGTTAGATGGGCTGCCAGCATGCACTTTATATCACTATATACTTGTTTATTCATTGACGAGTATTCATTGAACAGATATTTACTAACTTATCTTTCATGACCGAAGACCTTTTCCAGGCGCTTTGTTGTTGTTTGCTGTCAAGTTAATTCCGACTTGGGGCAACCCCATGTGTGCAGAGTACGGTTTTCAAGGCTGTGACCTTTCAGAAGCAGATCTCCAGGCCTATCTTCTGAGGCACCTATGGGTGTGTTCAGACCACCAGCCTTTTGGTTAGTAGTCAAGTGCTTAACTGTTTGCACCACCCAGGGACTCCTAGGTGCTTTACAGGCTACAGAGTGCTTTCATTTTATATTATTTGACCCTCATAATTATTCTTTGAGGCAGGAAGGAAGTACTGCACATATTTTACAGATGAGAAGACTGAAGACACAAAGTTAAGCGACTTACCCAATGTTTGAATACCAAATGCCTAATTCAAAACTTAAACCCAAGCTATCTGACTTTAAATCCTTTGCTCATTCTCCTGTACCACACTAGTGCTGGTCTCAAGAGCTTAGAATATTGGTTTAAAGATATCTAGAGCTTAGGTGTTGGGGTCAGACTGAGTCTGAATCCCAGCCCTACACCTGTTGACTGTATAATCTTGGGCAAAGTATTTAACCTGTCTGAAATAGGTCTTCCCAAGGCTGTGGACTTTGTCAGTAAATCAGCACCCACACATGACTTTTTTTAAAAAAAACAAACTTGTGTAACCTTTGCTTGATTTTTCTGTCTGTAAGTGTAATACTTTTCAAAAATTTAGAAGCACATAAAAGCACAAAGAAGAAAATTAAAAATCAGCTTTAATCACCACTCCAAGATAATGACTGGATACATTTATTGGAGAGATTTTTATTATAAAAGTAATATATGCTAGAACTAAAAACGTTTATTTATTTATTTTTTTACAATATAAGCACCCCGCTTCTTCCTATTCCTCATCTCACTCCTCAGAGGTAGCAGTTGTTAATTGTGTGCCATCTTCCAGACATTTTTTTTATGCGTATAAAAGTGTGTGCATCATAGCAAAAGCAGTGCTCAGAGGTCAGTTGATAGCGATAAACGCACACATCCAAAAAGAAGAAAAGGCCATAATCAAAACATTAACCCTACAACTGGAGCAAGTAGAAAGAGAACAGGAAAAGAAACCCTCAGGGGCCAGAAGAAAGGAAATAGTAAGAATTAGAGTAGAATTAAGTGAAATAGAGACTAGAAAAACAACTGAAACAGTTAACAAGACCAAAAGCTGGTTCTTTGAAAAGATCAACAAAATAGATAAACCATTGGCCAAACTGACAAAAGAAAAACAGGAGAGGAAGCAGA